ATAGTAAAGGGGTATGTTTTCTTAACAGAACTAATATCAAGCGCCTTATCAGGTTCCCGAGCTTCCCATTTTTTCCTCTCGTTCTAAAAAACCATTGGTTGAGCACATTATCCTATACCACTCGGTCATCTTGATAGCCCGTTTGACGCTCATTTGTAGACTTGTCATTTCACCCTCTCCCACTACCTTCCAACTCTGATCATTTCCCCTTATCATGGGACCCATGACAAGGACCCGGTAGATATTTAGATTGCTATAACCCTTCCTTACATTAGCTAACCCGTCCATCCCTTTGATAATCTGATCCTTACGTTAAGCAGGAAACTAAAAATATCGAGCCATGGCCTCTCCTTTCACCGCGGAGCTACTGAGTCCGTACCACCACAACACTTGCACATTTGGCGGGCAAAAAATGAAAATAACCGGATGTATAGACGAATTACTCGCCGAACTATCAACCCGACTACCACTCGCTCCAGTAGGTTTAAAGAGTGCTTTACCTACACACCGAGCTGAAGTTTACTGAATAGCTGTTACAGTAAGAAGTGTGAATCGAATTATGAACTGCACTTAATGACACCTCTACCATCTATACTCGGCAAAATCTGCAAATCACCGTACTCTACCAAAAACTAGATTTATGCATGATATTTTTGAGCTGAGATACCTTCAATGTGTAATGTATAATACCCAATTACCCGGTTCGATGCAGCTCATAAATAGGTACGAATAAAAAATGACCAATCGTAAGGGGTACGCCTACCTCAGCAGACGTTTGGGTCTGGATCCCACGGTGGCTCGGCGTTCTTGTCGAGCTGTAGTTGGCTAGCTCTCAATTGCGGCTCGGCGTAACTGCGGAACAGTACACCAAGGAATTCCTCGATCTGAAATTCTCATCAATACTATAGGCAACATGGATTATACAAATAATTCGATTGATTAAAGAATCATTAATCATATGAAGAAAGTAAATAACAATTACGATTATTCATCTACTCGTCAAAACATTGTCCGACCCAAGACCCATACATTTACTCCGGGCATCCTCATGGACACGAAGTCCC